AGGGTCACTATGAGTCAAAATCATGGCAGTATGGTTTTACTTGAAATGAGACTCAGACACATGAATCATTGAGAAAACTTGGTCTGCAGTCATCTACTGATTGCAGAGACATGTTTAAACATGGTTTGACAGCAATCTGTGCATGTATGAAATGAAACCCTAGTAGCAATACTTATTGATTTACCCTTATATTTCAGTTCACATCCGTAAGAATAAGAACATTTTCTATATCATAACATTTTCAGAATTAATACAATCAACAATTCTTTAATAATACCTAGCAACTTGTCTATATTCAAATTCCTGTTTCAAATACATTTTACTGCTGATTTGTTCAACTAGAATCCATGTTTTATTTGCTTATTCCATCTCTTCATTCTACTTTCATTCTTTTAATTTATATATGTATATATATAATATACTTAAAATATTTTTCTTCAACTTTTTATTTTCGAATTTCAAATTCTCACATAGTGAATGCTTATATGCCCTCATTTGGATTCACCAACTGTTAATATCATTCTATATTTGATATCAGCCTCAATTATACACACAGACACACAGACACACACACACACACACACCCCTCATTTCTGACCAAATCATTTTAAAGGTCCAGAAATTAGCATGTATTTCTTGAATAAGAATATTATCTTAAAATTACATACCTTTCTGTACGCTTATTTCAAAATATACAAATGAAGCCAACATAGTGCTAGAATAATCCGTTAAGTAATTATTGTCTTGGAGACAGTCATAAGTAATTGAGCAGTTACACTACTTAAAGAGCAGTAACAATAACAATAACCAAAGCAAAATAACAAACCCTGCACAGGAGAAACTACTACCACAAGTCAAGTCAAAAGGTAAGCAATAAACACAATAGAAAATTGTTTAGAAGTCATAATAGAGAGTTTATGAAAAAAGGAGAATCAGATGGCTTTTACCCATATGGAAAGATAAACACTTGACTTCTCCAGACAAAGGCAAATTAAAGCTACACTAGGTTACTGTGAGAGCACTGGCGCTCCAGTGGTTAAGTGCTTGGCTGCTACAGGAAATGTAAGTGGACTGACCCCATCAGCCATTCCGAAAGAGAAAGGTATGGCAACCTGCTCGCATGAAGATTTACAGCCTTGCAAACTCCATGGGACAGTTATACTCTGTCCTGCAGGGTCACCCAGCATTGCAATCTACTCAACGGCACTGTGTTACTGACGACTGGCAAATCCAAAAGATTAGTAACACATTGTGTTGCCAATTTGTGGTCTGGCAATACATACTGGTGTGGAAGTATAAATTAATGCAGCCCCTATGGAGGATAATTTGACAATCCATAAATAATTACAAATGCATTTATCTTTTGGTAGTACCAATTCTAGTTATACTTGCATATATATTGCAAATACAACGTTATTCACTTTTGTATTATAAGAACAAAAGATTAAAAATGATATTTTCATCAATAAATATTTCTGATTGGCTTAATAAATGATAGTATATCCATACATTCAAGAATGAAAAGTTTTTAATTACTTATATAGAATGACCACAAATTATATTAACAGAAAAAATAACACAACAATTATATTATTCATCTATTGGGGTTTAAAAAAAAGAACACATATATTTTGTTTATTCATGTTTGTGGCAAAAAAAACAGAAAAAAAGGGAAATTATTCTATCTCTTTTTGTATCTTACCAATATATATTCAAAACTTACTGATTGTCTTTCAAACACAATGCTAGGATTGCTAAGTTAAGGACACTGAAGAAAACAAGCAACATACCTTTGTGGCTTCCATGATAATCTTGTTAATTTTTTCTTTATCTAGTCCTTCCATTCCTGCTTTATTATCATTGAGTCCCACCCTAAGCAGAAGATCATCATGGCACTCCTTCTTCTTCTCCTTTGTGTTATTCATCGTGTGAACTGAAACCGCTTCCTTTCAGTAACTGAAAATGCATGCAAAATGAACACAACATTTAAAAGCACGCAGATAGGGAGCAGGGGACTTAAAAGTTAAAGTGATAAATCAGAAAAAGTTTTAAAATGATAGTTTAATTTTTGGCAAATGAAAATATTCAGATTTTTAGATTTTACCATGCCAAGATGATTGTATTTCTGGAGGGAAGCCAGGAATGAACATTTACTTTAGACTCAATGGCAGTAAGTTGGAGTTTGAGCAGCTGTGTGCTTGGCACTATGCTTGAACTTTATATTTGACCCGCATAGCAACGCTGAAAGGTAGGCAAAATATTTCCCAATGAAGAGAAAATAAGTCTGAGTCTTAGAATATGTTTATGAGCACAGATTTTCGAATAAGTAGCAACATCTGTGTTGACACCTAAGTCTGAGCCCAAAGCTCATGTTTTTCCTCCAGATTAATTTACTGCATAAGAAACAAATAAAAATACTTCCTTTCCTAAGCATGCTAAGTTTAATAGCACTTATACAGACCTCTATTATTGAAGTAGTGAAAGCATTTAAAAAATAAACACAATTTATTTCCAGGAAATTATTCTATTTTTACAATGTTTTATCACTTCGAACATTAAGGAGCCCCGTGGGTTATGCATTGGACTGCTGACAGCAAGGTCGGCAATTCAACCCACCAGCAGTTTCCTGTGAGCAAGATATCACTCCCAGTTCCTGTCAAGATTGACAGTCTCAGAAATGCTAGGAATCAGAATCAACTCAATAGGTAAGGTTAGGAAAGCTCCCTTCAAATAATTATTTAATATATGTACATAATTCCTTAGAGTTTACCTTCACACATATTATTTTGCTTATTCATGCATACTAATATCCCAGATACTACTTTTTAACACCTTTGTAACCAAGATTTGGTTATTCCGTGTTTTTTAAAAAACACAAAAAACTACCACCAGTCAAGCTGAATATGACTCATGGGCACCCCATCTGTGTCCAAGAGAACTCCATAGGGCTTTTAAGGGTTGATTTTCCAGAAGTAGATCACTAGGCCTTTTGAAGTTTTTGGTCAGAAAAACGGTTATCAAAAATACTGGCAAGTGGCAGAATGATGAAAGGGTAAGTTTTCAGCTACCTTCTTGACTGTTGATGCCCGATTATCAAACTATATCCAGTTTCACGGTTGCATGTTTCATACTGTCTGCATGTCAAGCATGCCTGACTTTATAACTCTCATCTAAATGCCTAACAACTCACACATTTTCCAAAAAAATCATCTCGTCTGCCTGTACCCTTCAAAAACCAGTGCCAACTGTAGCCTTCATCATCTCAGTTGAGGGCAAATCTAATCTCTTCCAAATGCTCATGTTAATAACTTTGGAACAACTCTTGACTCCTCTTTCTCACACACCCCACCATCCTGTGAGGAATTCCTGTGAGTTCTGCTTTCAACCTACACTGTCTCACTATCTTCACTACTTCCAATCTAGCCTCAACCATCATTTCCAGGTGTAGTGTAGCGAAGTATTTATGGCTCTTCTGACCAGTGTTTTTGTTTTACCACCGCCCCAAGTGACGTAAGAAGGTGAGGAAAGATACTGATTGCATTACTTGACTCAGTTGTGAGTGACTGCCATCCTACTGGGTACAAAGTATACTATCTCAAAAGCAGGGGGTGGGATTTTACTGCCAGCAAGAGAGGAGAGCCTCCATCGGACCCTACATCCAGTTCTTGGAATTTGAGTTGTGGCTTATCACCTGACCTGATTTCTCCAGCTTCACAGATGTGACATGAGGAAGATTCTCCAGATGCACAGTTGAATTTTGGACTTGGGACTTAGTAGCACACACAACTACGTGAGCCATTTTACTTTATACTGTGCATTCTGGATGGCCATTGCAGCAAATTGAAGAACCCCAAGATGTACCAAGGGGAGATGGTGGTGGTTGATGTCAAAAGTGATGGGGTGATCCAGCATTTTGGAAAAGTGTGACAGGTAGGATATATTTAACCTCCACATTCTTGGGACCAGTCTTGTTAATTGTCATATGAGAAACTGTTTCTACACATGGGTTACTGCATGTGGGTTACTACAAGAGCCTCTTAAATGGTCTCTGCTTCTGCTCCTCTTCTTAGTCAAGCCTCAACACAGTAACCTAGATTATTCTTCTATTTTAAAAGTTAAAAAAAAAGTAAAATTATGATTAGGGGTGAAAGTTGGCAAAGTGGTTGTTCATTCAACAATTTATACACATTGTTTTGTGACATTGAAATCCCCACAATGCCATAGCACTCTTCTGTCCTTCCATGTTTACCATTTCTGAAGCCTGTTTGCCATAGGAGCTTTATCCTTGGGCAAACTCTGCTCTTTTGATCTCATATGGTTGCTTGTTCTATGGAGTGTTGAGCCAGGGTAGGTGGTGGATGAGGGGAGAGTGAGTTCAGTGCCAGGACCATAGTTTTGAGAATTCCATCAGTCTCTGTCAGAACAGTGAGCCTGGTCTTTTTAAACAATTTCTCAGTTTTGTTCCACATTTTCCTACATCAGAGACTTACTATTGTGGTTCCTTTAAGAGAAATTGGTAATTCAAGAGTAATTAAGAGCAATTAGCAGCTGGGTAGATCTAGTTCTTCTGTCTGTGCTAGAGGAGCGTAAGGCTTGTGTAGTACACTAGTCCTTTGTACCAATTATATTTTCTTGACTTGTTTTTGCTCTGGATAATGAGAGATCAATAGCTGTATCATAAACGTCCACCTACAAGCTTTTAAGATCTTATGTTGCAGTCACTTCTAGCATATGAAGCACATCTTGACTACCAAGTACACTAAGAAACACAATTTGAACTACAAATGAAATATTTATTTCCTATATACTACTAAAATAATTATCTCTAGTAATACAAGATGGCTTTAGAAAGTGTGGAACAATGAAATTTAGAGATAATAGAATTTTTCCTCAAAAGTTTTAAGTCCCTGTGGTAGTTATATAATCTGGTGTCAACTTGAGGATATTAAGAGTGAAGCGGTGGAGTCTAGCCTGTCAATCAGGTCACAGCCTGAGAATGCCTCCTTGTGGGCATGGCCTTCTCATGAGGATTCTGGGAACTTTCTCTCTCTCTAATTGCACATTCCTGTTGACAAGCCACATGGAGCCATGTTGATTTTGGCCAGAATTGTGGAGATGCATCCACCACCATTGGAGTCACAAAACTTGCACCCACCAGCCTGTGATGTTCCTACGTTTTGCATCATTGCATATAAGTGCATGAGTCATTTAGGGACTAGTATCAGACGTATAGGCTAATATTAGATTTATGGACTTGA